TGTGTTCCACAGACGCGTGTGTTCACCAGTTTCTGATTGCAACTTGTATATGCATATGGGTGTTCTCTAGCCCTGGGTTTTCTTCTGGTATGAATATTTTATTTTGACAAAAATGAACTTTAGAAACAGATTTTACATTCTTAAACTTCCACTTACTTAAAAAAGCGAGAGACAGGGCATCTTAGACTCATTTTCAGGCATGAATTGACTTGTAACAGATTTTTAAATTGTATGAGCTACTTACACCTTCATGACATTTGATTGTATTTTGGATCTACTGACCACGCTTTTAGGTCCACAAAAGGGAAAAACGCTTTTTATGAGTTTTTATTTGGCAGATGAATAATAAAAACAGCAAAATCATTTAATGAGAAAAGAGGAGAAATTGTTCAGTTCAGAAAGATGGCAAAATGTAGGGAGTATTTTGTATTTGTCAGAAATTCTCATGGGGTGCCTGTGCTGGACAAAGAAGGACATAAGCATGTGTCTGAGATTTAAAAATATGTGTGCATTATGTCATGATAACTATATGGGTAGAGAATAACCAGAAATAGTACCTATTATTTACTTCTGCAAGAATACTAATGCAAATTAAAACACATAAAAACTGGCTCCTTACTAATTATTCATAAAAAATTACTTATCTCCGAAAGCAATTATAATTTATCTACAGTCTTTGTTCTCTGACTGCAGTTTTGTGAAACCTAGAATTTTCTAGCCTTTCAGAATTTATTAATAGGGCTCAATTATTTTTCTCCTTATGACTTCAAGGTGATGCAAATATTTTTCCCACTATAAATTTCTTTTCCCCAAGTAAATTACTTTTATTTTTAATGAAACATAGCCTTAATTATTTCTCTTAATTTTTCCTGTTTAATATTTAATAGGTGTGATCAAAATATATGGTGACTGTCTAAATGAAAAGAAATTACGACAGTGAAAGACACAAACCCATTAATCCCACCCCATATATCCCTTCCCTTGGAATGTACATACCCTGCGGCTACTGTCACTTTCTGAAGCAGTTCTGGAAGCCTCTACTGTAAGTGTTTTAAGGAGGTGTAATAAAAAATACAGTGAATGCTGCAGCCAAGTGACACCAAGTGCCACCCAGGAGAATGTCAGGCTCACAAAAACATACAGTGTGTTCTCATTCTCTGAATCTGGTACCATGTGACTTCTGTCTCTTTCCCAAAGTCAAAATAAACAGGAAAGGTAAATATTTTAAATTGATTCAGGACATTCAGGCCATTATAACAAGGTAACTAAAGAATGAAAGAGGACTTCCAGAATTGCTTAGAAAATGGTAAGAATGATAGGATAAGTATGAGGAAAGCAAGGAAGAGTACTTTAAGGGGGGATTAATGGCAATGTGCCCTTTACTGTAATCAATTTTTTAAAAATTTAAACATTCACTATATTCTTCAATCATACCTTACAGTTTTACATCTAAAATTTAAATTTTAAGATTGTACATGTTTATAATTGTCACATATATATATTTTTTTCAGTACTAGAGATTGAACCCAGGGCTTTGAGCATCTGAGGCAAATGTTTTACCACTGAGTTGCATCCCCAGCCATGTAACTTACATATTTATTTAAAAAATGGCATTTGGTCATAGAGTCTCACTATATAGTCCAGACTGATCTCAACTCAGAAGGGAGCTCAGGTTGCCTCAGATTTACAGAAATCCTTCTTCACAGCTTCCAAGTGCTGAGATTCCAGGTGTATGCTACCACACTCTGCTTGTTTAAAATTTTGAGACAAGGTCTCATTGGTTTTATAGTCATGTGTCACCACATCCAGCATAATTGCCGTATTTTAAATTCTACATAAATTTTAAAACAAAACATTCTTATGAATTATTATAGGTACATGCCTATAGACTGAATGTTAAAAGCATACAAAGGCAAAATAATATCAGCTACAGGAGACTCCTGGCCATTGACATCAGAATCCTAGAAATTTAGTTTCTTTTTTTTTTTTTTTTTTTGCAGTACCAGGGATCGAACTCACAACCTGCGCTTAGCCAGGCAGGTGCTTATGCCACTTAGCTATATCCCCAGCCCCAAAATTTAGTATTATATGAAAGTCACAAAAGTATCTGTTATCGATGTAGATTCCTAGGATTTACCTCAGAAACTCTTATGCAGCAGGTCCGAGTTGGGGTTGATGAGCATGCACTGGCAACCCCAACAGAATCAGCTGCAGGTGGATGCAGAAGCCTGAAGGTGAAGGTGAGGTTAATGCTGGAACAAGATTCGGAGTCATTAATCCATAGGTGGAGCAAAAACCTTGGTGCAGACAGGAATATCCAGGACAGGGTACAGACAAAGAAGAGTGATGGGCCCAGTGGGGGAAAGCCAAAATGGAAGGAGCAAAAGGAAAGGGAGAAGTCTACCAGGGAGAGAACAGACGGCCCCGGGTACAGAATGGAGAGCCCATGGCCACAGAAAACAAGGTTGCAGCATTAACGTCCTTACTTTGGAAACACCCTCAATTTGTGGAAGAGGAGGGCACAGAGATGACGTGGGCATGGGTGGATAGTTTGCTTCCCTTCCCCTTTTTGCTCTTGCTGCTTTTGCTGTCTTGTGCTGCCTTGAAGTGTTGCCCCTGTGCCATGCCACCCTGCCTTGGAGCCAACTGATTATAGACTGAAATCTCCACAAACGGTGAGCTAAATAAACCTTTGCTTCCTTAATTTTGGGCATTGTCTCAGCAATGAGAGAAAAGTAACCAAGGATAGGCCCTACAATGTTTCCTGGAAAACAGGGTTGCTTGTCAAATTACATTCCAAGCACCTGTCATGTTATCAACAATCAGTGTCTGGTGAACTAAATTCTCACAAGGATATTTGCCATAGAGGAACTTTAGAGCTTGTCTGCTACTTGGTTCCAAGTACCCTAATTAGGATGGGCCAAATGTTGCATGGATATAGCCACCCATTATGGAGATTTAATCGTAACCAAATCAACAAGGCAGTTGTTTTGAGCCATCTGCCAAGATATAGTAATGACTTTTAAAACAATACCTAACCTTGGTGTGTGATAGTATTCTGGAATTTTGTCAGTAATTTTAAAAAAATTAAGCAAAGGCCTTTAAAATCATTGAGACTCTAAGAGTGTTTTTTTCCCCCAAATTATCTCTCTTGATCATTTATAGACACATGTAGTCATGAGGTGAACAAACCACACCACACCAAAGGAGGTAAATGGCTCTCGAAGGACACTAGTGTGTCGGTCGTCATGACAACTGCTGATTTTATTGAATAGAGAGAAAAAAATCAATTAGAAACCAGGGGAAGAACTCGCACAGGAACATAAAACCTTTCTGCCTCACAATTTCGGGAACTTTCCCACATCTGTACTGTGAATGGAGAGGGTTGTTGTGAGCGCCAGGCAGAGGAGTCTAAGAAAAGTCACACTGTTCCTGCATTTCCATGCTTCTAATATTCCTTCCGTAACCTGACCTTCTCCATACCAAAGCATCTTACCAGAGTGGTAAAAATGCAGCCCATTACCTGGATCTTTTGTACTGACATTGAACAGTTCTTGCTTCTAATCTAGTTTTCTTTGAACCAGACAGTTTTTAGGTTTATTTATAGAGACAGCCTGCATCTGCGTGGGAGTTTCTTCTCCCATGTGGCATATGTTTGGCCAGTTATGAAAATACAGGAAAAGATGCCTGAAGAATCCATCCTTCAAGGCTCTTATGGGTTCTATTTCTCTCCTTCCTTGGAGACCTACTATTCTCTCTCCCTATTTTACTGAGAATACTCAGACAGGTTGCCAAGTTTTTCAGATCTTCCTAAAACATTGTTAAATTGGTTGAATGGGGAGAGACCCTATTGTGAGAACAGACATGAGCTGCGTGACATTTTCTTCATCGAGTGATAGCTTTTACTGCAATGAGCTCATTGATCTCATGAGGAGATGGTAGAGCTCCCAGAGTGAGCTGTGCACGATTCAGTTCTGAGATCACCGGAAGATAGGCTGACACACTGGGAGGGCTCTGTTTTGCTATTCCTGATGCAACCACAGCAAGCTGAGCTTGAACCCAGCAAATGTGGATTCTCATTTTTGGGTTCCCTGATTACATCTGACATACTGGAGGGTATATAATAGGTGTTTGGTAAAAATGTCTCATGTTAATCTGTCAATTCCTCCTTTACACTGAAACCCTAGCTTACTCGCTTTAGCGTTTTGCTCTTTAGAGACAGTATTTGTGTTTGAAATGGCCTTGCTGTTCCTAAAGCTCTCACATAGTATCTCATTTGATGTTACCTATAAGGGCTCGGTTAAGTAGGCGTAGGTTATGCTAATTATATTTCAGTAATGGGGACTGAACCCAGGGCCTTCACACACTAACCTACATTCTCAGCTCTTTGTGTGTGTGTGTGTGTGTGTATATTTTTTTTTTCTGAGACAGGATCTTGCTAAGTTGCTAACTTGCTTAGGCTTAGCTCGAACTTATAATCCTCCTGCCTTAACCCTCCCAGAGTGCTGGGAGTGATACTCATTCTTGAGAGATGAGGAGATTGATTCTTGAGAGGTTTATAACAGTAACACGGCTTACCAATGATGTCCAGAACCAAAGCATGGATGTAACCTGTTCAGTGCTATTACCATCCTTTAATGGAAACTTAAAAGCAAAAATAATTACACAATAAAATAAAATGCTCACTCAATGCAAAACGATGTGCATGAAGGAAAAAAAAAAAACCTAAAGAAATAGCATGAGCTGTATTTCTCATGGAGCAGGAATGTTAATACTTTGTGCTAACTGCAACATTGTGGGACTCATTTTTGCCCCTGTAATTGTTCTTGAATTAAGCCAGTGCCACAGCAGCTGGGAAGAAACCCACCGGCTGCTTATAGAGGTTGAGCCGCTTTTTACTGTCTGTTGACAAATTTTCATTAACCCCACCCTGATGATGAGCTGGGACCCTGTTGGTGTTGCAAAAAATTACCGAATCCTTTTGTTAATTTGTTTCTTACCAAGCTGTTCTCCTAAATGTTGGCCCCTCTCGGTTGAGATGACCCGCTCATCTTCCATGTCACATTTGTTCCCAACCAGGATAACCTGGGCATTATCCCAAGAGTATGTTTTGATTTGTGTTGACCTAAAAGAAAAATAATAAGCACAAAATGATCAGAGGAGGGCAGAACAGCATAAAACGGAGGAGGAGGATTATATCTCACAGATGACGATAATAGCAAAAAAATGAAGTCCAAGTGCCTGACATTTAAAATTAATTAGTTTAGCACAATTCCACCCTTCAGATTCTCACCAGGGATTGCAAGAGTCAAAAATCAAAGCAACAGGCTGGGGTGTAGCTCAGTGGTAGAGCACGTGCTTAGCATGTGCAAGGCTGGAGATTTAACCCCCAACTGCTACTAAAAATAACCAAGTTAACAGCGGCGCTGTGCCAAGAACTACTTGCTAGGATTAGTACTACACACTTCTTCCTTTCCCTGCTCTACTCTTACCTGATGTACTACAGTACCTTTAGACGAATCACTGTTTTGCATGTAATGTTGCCCAAATTAACAATAAAAGCCCCAGGTCTCGAGAAACCTGTTCCAGGAAAACGGAGACTGTTGGTGCTCTATTTACAGCGCATCACACACAACTTCTTTTTTCTGAATCACAACAACAACTTCAGAAGGTTAAAAGGGGCTCATGAAATCTGGGGGTAATGATAATCTTTAAAAAGGAATTTATGAACTAATATATCCAGGCCTTACATTTTTAGGTGAACAATATAGGTCAATTAATATCAAAATAAAAACACAAAGAGATAGCATTTTAAATTGCTATAAACAGAACATCTGGCATTGAGTATTGGTCTCCAACATGCATCCTGACAAACACCTTTGGTTTTGGAACTTAATAATTATAGTTATCATGTGCTAGTATTGTCTGAAGTGTTAACATTTCACAATTGAGGAAAGTGAGGTACGGGGGATTGAAATATTTTGCTCCAGATCACACAGCTAGTTAAGTGGCAGACCTGGTACTCACACCCAGGCAGTATGGTCCTCAGCACTGCGCTCTTAAATGTGTTTCCATACTACTCCTTAAAAGTTTGAGAACTTAAATTCTACTGTTTTCATTGTCATCTAGAGAAGAAACCCATTTCTTTAATCTTCCCTTTCTACTATTTGAGGACAAGAGTCTTAGCTATGTGGGAGAGACATATTGCCCACTGCAGTTGGGAAAGAGATACTGGAATGTTGAAAAGCTAGACAAATGATTAAAGTTTGAAGGAAGAGATTTGCAAAGTGCCGAAAAGAGAAGCCTGGGAACAATCTTCCTAACATTGTTAAATTCTTCAGGATTATTAAATGGAAAATAGAGACTAGCTGTTCTCCACTTGAAGAGAGAATTAAAAAGCAAAGAGTTTTAAACTGCAGCTGGAGTGCTTTCAGTGAGATGTGGTCACTGTTTCTCCCTCCTGAGAAGAAAGGCAGGAGCTAAGAAGCAGATAAGATCTTACTCAGAATTCCCTTCAGTCAAGCATAAGTTTCCCAATGACATTAACGTAATCTTGATTTCACCAGGATATGACAGAGATCCAGCATGTTTCATCAAAAAAATCTGGGGGATATGATATTTCTGATTCCTAAGTTAATAATACCATTTTGCTTTAGGCCTGGCAGTCTCCATGGACTGGAGAAATAAAGACAGAAATTCTAATTTTTCCTCATTACATCTAATACATGGAGCATGTAAAAATGATCAGTTCATAGTGCATTAAGGTATAAAAAATATCAAGCATGCAGAAACACTGTAAATCTTAAATGCTAAAATAGTTTTACAAAGAAAGTCCTATTTCTTTTGGAAGATCTGAAATTGATTAAATTTCCTTATATAATTAAAAAAAAAATGATCCTTTTACTCTGGTAGGTCCTACAAATCAAAAGCCAGTCAATGCTTAAAAAGGCCTTGTGTCCTTATGTTAATAAAGGAAGTTCTAATCCTGATAGCATAGCTGGAAATCAGATAACCAGTGATTAGCTTGCAGGAGAGTATTGCAGATGTTCAGGGAAGGAGTTAGGGCCAAGGTGGAAATACCACGGATTCCTGAGTTTCCTTGGGACAAACTCTTGCTGAAGGAAATTCAGCCTCCTCTGGCCTGGGTGGAGCCATCCTACTACACACTGAGTGCCAAAATTCCACTGAAGCAGTGCCCTTGAGAAGGCCAGAAAGGTATACAATTCACCGCTCGTCAGGCTGGTCTTTGTCCCCTAACTGGGTTAACAAGGTGTTCGCTTCTGCCATTAAACACGTCTAAATGTCTTGGTTCTTCTCATACCATAACTTATGGGCCCTTAGGCTGCTACCACAGATTACCCACTTATGTATGTATACCCAACACTCTTTGTTCCTTAACTATTTCTAAAACATGTGAAAACCAGAGAACATATTTCCTTGGCCAACGAAGTTATCAAAAGTATTCTTATTTATTCTTATAAATTTTTAATGTAGCATCTGAATTGTTAAGAATTCTGGAAATCAGATAGCCAGTGATTAGCTTGCAGGAGAGTATGGAAGATGTTCAGGGAAGGAGTTAGGGCCAAAGTGGAAATACCATGGATTCCTGAATTTCCTTGGGATAAAATTCCAGATAACTGTTCTTAATTGCTAAGAAAATAACAAAAAAAAGAATGTTTTCTACAATTACCATGAAACTATAGAGAATCATTGTCATGAAAGCTTAGAGAGCCAATGGAAACCAGTTTTCTTTTTAATGAAATCAAAACTGTGGTCTGGGACGTTTGTGTTGAGGTGAACAAAAACTGATTTGACTTCAGACTTGACCTGATTTTACAATTGATATTGTGGTGATAAAGGCTTATTATCTGGTTTTGATTTGGACTACTCTGGAGTTCCTGATATTTTCCATCAGCTGAACAGGAAGGGTAGCTTTAGACCCAGCAAGACAGGATCAGAACAAGGTAATCTAAGATGCAATAAATTATAAGGTAAAAATGATTTTGCAACAATCAAGAATAAAAGATGTAAAAAAAACCCCTGTCATTATACTGTAACAATACTTTTGCTCAATACATTGGTTAGTTACTTTTGATTCTTGTTGCTTTAAAGTTTCTTTCATGTATTGTGAGGAATTTAACATTCATTTGCCTTTAGTTGCTATGCCTACTGAAATATATAATCATGTCATCCCTATATCAGTAATAAATGCTAACATATTTTATCTGCTTGTGGGTATTTTCAGTTCGTAGGTCACACAGAGTACTAGGTTGTTGTTTTGCAAGAAATTATGAAGTTGTAGTCATTACTCCAAAATGAGCATTGACATCAGCATTCATATCACTAACATCAAATTTGTGCATCTTTCTATATGTGAAATAATTCTCTACTCACATACCAACAACTGGATAGTTCCATCAAGGTGACAACAATAGAAATAGCTATGACCCGGTTAGTGAATGTGCAGGGAATGGCATCTAAATTTGGTACTGCTGCATAATAATCAGAATGAGCCATTTATAATAAGACATATCACAGGGCCAGGAAATACTAAAGAAAAAATTTTGCATTTTTGATATTGTACGATGCTATTGTGCTGTTTTGTATTTCTCTTATGAAAATCTACATTGAAATAGTGGCTTAGATTATTCCAGAAAAACTTGGAGATGAGGAAGTATAAACTTCATGAGTTGAGAAAGACTCAGAGTTATGCACATTTTTATGCACATTTTATCTACATTGTACTATGAACTTAGGTCAGAAGAAAGTGTGGGAGAAACCAATTGCTATCCCTTCTAGCAGAGAATGCTGTGCTACTGAACGTCAGTATCTTCACTTGTGAAATGGGGCTAGTTTACTCTTACTCTGGGGCTACTGTAGGACAAATATGATTTTAGGCCCATGCTCTATTTTTGTTTCTGGGAATTGAACTCAGGACCTCATGCTTGTCAGGCAGGTGCTGTGCCACTGAGGTATCTCCCTGGCCCCACATTATACCCTTTAACTTGTAGACATCTCTTTATAAATAGAATACATTTTTAGTCCCATGTTAGGCAGCCAGATGTTCTTCCCAGGTCCAGCTCAACTTTTTTTTCTAATTCCTATCATCTAAATGATGTAAATAATTGGAATTTTTCATTAAAGCACCTTAAATTTTGTTTCTGGTTTGTAGCTTTGGGCTGTGGTTCTACATCAATAACTCTTAGGGTGCTGAAGGTAGAACCCATAGATTTGTGCATACTAAGTATATGCTTTACCACTGAGGTACACCCATCCCTGCATGAGTGAATTTTTAACTGGGAATAGTCTTCCTCTGGTATTTCTGTTAGGACTATGGCATGTTTGTTGAATAAACCTTTCTTTCATGTATTTATATTTTCTCTTTTTGGCCATTTGCTATACTTCATAAATTTTCTTATTTGGAAATGAGTTTCCAATCGCCTAATTAAAATGACTATATGATTGCTTTGTTGGGTAGAGATACATACTTAAAGAGACTGGCTGTCACCAAATAATATACATGTGCAAAGGTGATTTATTTCTGAATCGCTGCAAAAGATCCTTGGGGATTTACTGTTAATCTCAACAAGATTAATGGAATCCACCCGTATGCAAGTCACCATGGTGACTCTGCAAATTGCAGTCAACTCAGACCTTACCAGTGCCAGATGATAGCCGCTAAAATACTTGTTATTTAATTTCCAACAAACTAAGACAAAACCAACCAAAAATATCCCAGGCCTCTCAATTTTTATATATAATCCTGAGAGAGAGAGAGACAGAGAGAGAGAGAGAGAGAGAGAGAGAGAGAGAGAAGGCATTAATTTGAGCCTTATCAAATCTGAAGTGGAATTGCCAAATCCATAAGATAGAACACAGGGAGATGAAAAGGTTTTGATATTTCACACATAAATAACTGAACACTGCATGGACTCAAATTATTTAAATCCAGAGAGATGTGAACAAATCAACCAAATTCCTGCACTATCTCCATTCCTTCTCTCCTAGTTACATAAGTAATTTCCTATGAATTCAACAACTTCGCCTACAAAATATGGGCTCTTGTTAGTCACAATCCTTGAAAATCAGTCCACAAAATGTACCCCAGTGACCCTGTAAAGAGCA